AAGTTCTAGTATTTAAATAACTACTAATAACTAGTTTAGTATTGGGACAGACTCAAATAAGTGGTCTAGTTGAGTCAATCCATTCAAGTTGTTGATAGCTTCAAGGGGAGGGAAAAAATAAATTAAGGAACATACACACTAAGAAAAATTTAAGGGCTCCCAGCTGGACCAACCGACCGTGACATGCGTGACAGTTGCCTATTTAGGCAGGTATTTCACAGGATCATGTGATTGACTCATCTGGAAATAATCCTCACAAACTATTGGACTATGTCTAGCCACTCATCACGGCTGCTATAAGGAAAGAATAGCCATAGGATTGGACTTGTGTCCACAGTTCAGAACCCAGTACTAGGTCACAAATGTGACAATACTCACCAAATATGGAAGTTCATTGATGAGATGCAGAGAATTGTATGTGCAGCCTCATATTGCACTGAGAACCTATGGAAACATCTTCTTACACTTATTATTGCTGTTCTCACCTGATAGGGCGCGGATCAAAACAAGTCGATATATACGGAAAATGTAGTCGACACTAAATAGCTTGTTTCTCCACCAATACACGTCTGTTTCCCCTGCAAGTATGTGCGTTTTTGGTAGCCTTAGGATGACCAGTGTACAGTGTTTGCACTGTTGTCATCCATGATCAACGTGACCGCGACTTCTGGTTTTGACCACCATGGAGCCAAGGGAGACACGGTCAAGTCGCCACAAAAAAGCGCCTATTACACCTCACGCCTCTGCTGCCTCACTCCAAGCTCTTGCTAGCGCTGCTGCGCTTGTGCAAACCTCTCCAAACAAGGAGAATGTCACGGTCATGTCCCCAACCAGCCGCCCTCCCGGACCTCTTCCCCACCTCAAGCTCACGCCTCGTATGAATTATTCATTAGCTCAACACTGAGACTCACCACTCACAGCCCGCACACCAGCTCTAGCGAAGGAGCCTTTAACTCCCACATCCAAACGGAGCTCATCTAGTGCATTCGGCGGTATGGGCATGTTTCTGTATCAGAATTGCAAGCTGACTCTGCCTTTGTAGATGAGACCGACTCAGATATAGTGTAAGGGCAACCCCGGAGGCCTGAGATCAAGGAATACAAATGAAGCTGACCTAGCAGGGGAGGATCCAAAGAGAAGAAACTCTAAGGGTCCGCCTGCTAGGTAGCTGACTATATACTGCTTGTCTGTTATATCCGTGCCGACTCCGGCATCCGTCTCCGATATCCGTCTCCGGTATTTGGTTTTTACGCAATGAAGATTTACTGAGCGTTTCCAATTACCCCGACTTATGATCTATGCAATCATCTATGCCTTGTTCCTCGTATGCAACTCCTCTTCTACTTTACTTGACTTTGTTCTAATCTTGTTACTTACTTTGTTATACCTTATTCCGTTTCCGTTACTTCTCGTACTATAAATACTTTGATGTATTATCACGTACTTCAGTTTGTAAATTAACGTTGCTGGTCTCTATCTCCCAGCGTCGTCTCGACTCCACTCTTCTCCTCTTGTCTTGTCTTGGTCAACTGGAAGCCCCGGTCACCCAATCATCCTTCTGTGGTGTTCCGCCCCAAGTGCTCTACGACTTCGATTCCGTCTCCGACTTCGACTCCGTCTCCGTCTCTGTCTCCGTCCCTTTGGTCGACACGGCACTTAACAGTATTTACAAGCTCACTTCCTTTTGACCATGTCAAACGTACGCCTCTCTTCTGACAACATTGACCCCGCCAATACTGGTCAACGGCGTTCATCCCGCTTCTACGAACAAATGGTTCCTCTCACTTCGCCTATGGCGAACTTCACCTACAACGCTGGCGCTCCTGTCACTTCGGTTCCTGTTCCCGTTCCTCGGACACCTACTGGCACTACCAACCCTTTCCGGCCTGGTTTTGTCATGTCTCCGCAGGATCCTGATCCAAGTACTATCCCTATGCCAACGACTCCGCATCCAAACACGGGTCGTTTTTCTAACGTCAGTTCCCCTCCCGTCTCTCCTACTTTACGTTACCGACCCCTCACTCCCACACGCCTTCACGACATTGAAGAAGAAAGCGAGCCAGTCCCGATGTATCGGCACGCTTTTAGCAGGCCCATGAGCCCTGCTCAAGGTCGCTCCGGAAACGGAAACGATTCCGGTCAAGGTCAACCAAACCGCAACCCCTCTCCGACTTTTAGCGGCAAGCCGAGTCCATTCTTGACTTTGCCCTCTGGCTCCCCTCCTGGCTCTCCCAGAGGCGGACCTCCTGGTGGTGGTGGACCTGGCGGACCTGGTGGTGGTGGACCTGGTGGTCCTGGTGGCAGCCCTGGTGGATCTGGAAATCCATTCTGGGGTCCCCCTAGAGGTGGTGGTGGCGGAGGAGGCGGAGGAGGTGGAGGTGGTGGGCCACCTGGTGGAGGTGGTGGTGCCGGAGTCCCTCGAGCTGGCTCTCCGGGCCGTGATCTTCAACGCGCAATGATTGGCGCTCTCCAAAATTTCCAACATTTCCTCACCAACTTTCCTCAGCGCAACAATGCTGCGCCCCGTTCCAATCGGAGTCTTCTCCGGGCACCGGACACGTTCGACGGTTCCGATCCCGCGAAGCTCGTCCCTTTCCTCACCCAGTGCTATATGCACTTTGCCGAGCGTGAGCAAGATTTCTCTACTGATGACGAGAAAATAATCTACATCACCTCGTATCTGCGCGGAAACGCATTGGCGTATTTTACGCCTAACCTGTATGCCATGAATCAGGGCCAGGCTATTGCGATTCCGGCTTGGGACGGCAATTTTCCTTTGTTCATCAAGGAACTCCAGGACAACTTTGGTCCTCAGGACCCGGTTGGCGACGCGGAGGACAAAATCCGGAATGTGACAATGAAGTCCGGTGATAAGATCACCACTTACATTATCCAATTCGACACCCTCGCTCTCATCACCAATTGGGGTGATTCCGCTCTCCGACATACCTTCTATTCCGGTCTTCCTAAACGTATCAAGGACGACATGATGCACTACGTCTACGCTAATACGCTGGACGGGTAGTCAAGCAAACTGCCCGTCTCATCGACGGCAAGTATTGGAAGCGTGAAGCGGAGAAGCAGAGGGAGCGGGAGTTAAGAGATTCTCATGGTGGTGGATCTGGTTCTGGTTCGGGCTCTGGCCATTCCGGTGGCCATTCCGGTGGCTCGAATTCTGGGTCTGGGGGTTCTAAAAAGAACTCCTCTTCGAAAAAATCGTCTGGCTCCTCTGGCTCCTCTGGCAACAACTCCGGAAACGGAAAGCGTCTCCGGTGGTAATTCAATTCTGGCAACAAGGGCTCCAACAGCTCTCAGCAACAGGCTTCCTCGTCGTCTTCCAACAATAACGACAAGACGAAGACAGCCAAAGCGGCACGCTTCCCTTCTTGGTCCTGATGGGAAGTTGAAGCCAGAAATACGCGAGTTCAGAATCAAGAACAAGCTTTGCCTCTTCTGTGGCAAGTCTGGGCATATGGCCAACGAATGTCGAAAGAAGAAGGCTATGTTGGACGCACGCGCCACTACCATCACTCCGGTGGCTGCGTCTCCGGCGGTCGCCACTCTCGGTCGACAACACTGAGTCAAAAAAATAGTCAGCGACTCGGTCCCTCTTGCAGCCGAACCGAGCCGCGTTGACTCCAGGTTGCTACCGGAGGTACGTCTCAACGCGTCCGCTCTTTCTTCTCACGCCCTTTTTCTCGATCTTCACGTTTCCGCTCTCGTCCCGTCTCCGGGGGGTCCCGGACTCGATCCTGTCAGGAATAGAGTCTGGTTCAACCCCAACTCTTTCCGTCGTACAATGCATAGCGGCGGGATTCAACTCCCGCTTGAGGACTCTTATCGACTCTGGATCATCTCATTGTTTTATATCTGCCTCTATCTGTAAAATGAAGAATCTTTTGCCCTATGCTGTTTCGCCTGTCAAGCTACGGTACCTCGACGGCTCCTCATCAACCATCAACCAACAAATCCGTCTTCTCATCCGCTTTCCGTCTGGCGAAGTCCACCTTGTGGAATTCTATGTTACCCATCTGGACTCTCCTTGCGAAATGGTTCTTGGATATAGTTGGCTCAACCGCTTTAATCCGTTGATTAACTGGTCTGAAGCCACCGTCTCTTTCCGTTCCAACACGTCTAGGGAGTCTTTGTCGACAAAACTGGCTACTATCACGCCTGCTCCTGTTGCGATCAGCTCCTCTACGAGCGAGGACACTCCGGAATCGGAATCGATTCCGCCCTCTCCGGTTGCTCCTATATCGCCCCCTTCGCCAACAAATCCTGGTCCTGTATTGGACGATCCGTCTCCGGTTGACACTCCGTCTCCGGCCATAACTCTCACGCGCAAGACTCCTCTTGTCGCGCCCCAAATCTCTCTTGTTTCTGCTGCGGCTTATCGCTGTGTTATTGCGGATAAAGATACGTATCAGTACACTCTTCGTGCAGTCCCTTCTGACGAAGCCTTTGCTCGAGCAGCTCAAGCCGAGCCTGAGGTTAATCGTCTCCCACCCGAGTATCAAGACTACGCCGATGTGTTCTCGGAAACGGAAGCTTTCAACCTTCCGCCCCATCGCGAGTTTGATCTCAAGATCGAGACCGTTGATGGTGAAGAACCACCCATCGGACACGTCTATTCTCTGTCTCAGAACGAGCTGGAAGCTCTCCGCAAGTTCATCGACGAGAATCTCCGCTCCGGGTTCATTTATCCTTCGCGCTCTAGTCATGGCGCGCCTATTCTCTTCGCTAAGACACCTGCTGCAGCTCATTTTTTGCGCAACACTTGGGCTGTTGCCCAAAAGTGTTTTGCGCAAAATGTCGGGGGTTTGGGGATCAACCCACGGAGCGCCGGCAGGGGTCAGGAAACATCGGACCATCATCAGAAGTTGATCTCATTGCGGCCCGCATCTAGATCAGTCTCGGGGACACGGCAACAGGGCCGGGGCAAGTCGATCAAGCTATTTCTGAGGCAAATAATGCAAGTAATCATTATAACACTTATATAATTACATTTCATCATCGTCACTGGCATTTCCGTGCTCGTCCTCATCCTCTACATCGACGAGCCCATCGACGATGTCCCCGTCATCATCGCAGGACAAATAAACAACATTAACTGCTCTTGCAGCTCGCTTTCCTCGCGCTAACTTCGGACTCGTTCGCACAATCTCTGCGCGAGCTGCCAGGTTGCGAAATATGTCAGCTTGCTTCGTCGCATACGCAATCATCCCCTCCGCAACCCCCCCCTCCCAATCCGCTGATGTCAACCCCCTTCCCCCGAGTAAGCCACGCCTGCTCCTCAGCACCAAAGGAGAGCGGGAGTCGTTGCCATTCCGCGTCCAATATCCGTACTTCTTCTTTCCAACGACGAGTTCGTGCGTAAGACTTCGCCCATTCGATTCGTAGAGCTGAGACCAATGGTTAGTGGGTGTTGAAGCCTTGAGACAACTCCTACATACCTTCTTCGACTCCCTGTGAGGAGTTTTGGACGTTGCTCCAGATCCAGGATACTTGGCGTCAACTTTCTCCGTGTTTAAACACAGCGTTTGCTTCACGAGCTGCGTGTCGTCGATCTGGCCGTGTGCTAGGTAGTTGGTCGACCGTTTCGTCCTCTTCTGTGTCACTAGTCTCCATCGGCGCAGGGCCCTTTGGCAGAGCAAGAAGGCCAGCTTGCGCCAATGCCATATCTTGTCTGCGTTCATTTCGTTCTGCCCTTTCCCGTTTCCGCTCTGCTCGCGAGACCTCCTCAGCATCCTCCATACATCGGATATCCTTCTTCTCGAGTTTCCGCCACAATATGAGGTCTTCTCCTTCAAGAGCTACCAGTGCTCGCCGAGCTTGCTGGTATTTTTCGGAATAGAGCAAGATCTTTTGCTCATTTTGATCGACCAACGATCTCGAACGCGTATTCATTACTTGAGCGCATGAGTTGTTCTTCTTGTAAGTGAGGAGCCTCGCTTTGACATGCAGTTGTAGTTGCAAGCTTGTCAACGATGAGCGACACTGAGCATCCCGTAGCGTCTGCTCGATAGCGACCAGTCCCTCTCGACAGCCACCGTTCTCACGCTCGACAGCAGTAAGGGCAGAAGGAGGAAGAAGGGGGACGTGCTCCGCGAGGGTTTCTTGAGTCAAGTGGAGTGCATCGAGACGCAGAAGAGCCGCCGGCATATATGTTGCTTGGAGCGTTCGCAAACGCTTAATAGAGCGATTGAGTTTGCGTCGTTGACGACGGAGACTAACTCCAGTTGAGGAGCGTTTCTTGCCCACATCGACCAATCCACGAATGCGACGCCTGTAATTAGAATATGCATAAGAAGAATACGCAGATAAATCAGGAAATACATACTGGTCTCCCTCCACATCTAACAAGGCAACAATGAATTCAGTCGGGGAGATGTCGTGAATCGGAAGTGCCCCCGACTTCTCTTCTTCAGCTTCCTGCTCTTCAAGCATTTTGCGGACAGCAGTCTCGCTCATACCTAAATCAAGTCAATAAACCGCACTGCATCTTGACACACTGTATAATTGCACCTTCAGCTTTGTACTCGTAAGGGTTAGGTTTCATGTTATCGGCCTCGAATTCATCCACTTGTTTTTTCCAGTCCAGCACACGATCTGCATGGCCAGTTGACAATTGTTCGAAGTCGAGTTCTTGTCTCGCAAGTTCTTCTTTTGCGTTGTCGGTCCTTCGACGCAATAAGACGGCTGAGAGTTTGAAAGTCAGCATTAGAAAACTCAGTAGAAGAATACGCACCAAGACGCAGTAGCTTCAGCCAGTTCCAAAATGACCAGTGGTCATCCAACTGGTCCCAGCGAGCACCCGGTCCACAAACCCGTGTACTGCCAGCAATTCCGCCAATCATACTCCAAGGTCGCTCGATTCCTTCGCCATCCGTCATGCCCGAGCCGAGGATGAGTAGTAGGGAAAAGAGAATTTGGCACAAGACGAGATGGCCCTTGATGTGCATCTTGGGGATTGCAAATCGAATCAAAGCCAGGGCGAGGCGAAGACGGACAAGGGGCGGAAGCTTGGCCAGTCACTCAATGAGTTTCTTGATCCATTGGCAAACAATGTCGTATGAGAGAATCTTCCAGAGACGAGCGTCGATATGCCGCATGAACGAACCGAAGATATAGTCCATATTCCCATACCTGAGCTTGGTCAATATGTAACTTTACTGGGGATATATCTCACGTACCGCTCGCCCGCCTGTAAGTCTCCGACGCCGTTGGGCAATACGAATTCGTGTCTTGCGCAGACGCCCATGCCAACCCCGGTTACACTGTAACCACGAGAAAACTTGGTGTTTGCATGGTCCAAAGCAGCAAGACCGCTACAGGTGCTCATCTAAATTGGAGGTCAGTTTCAGCCAACAAAATACAAGACACCATGGCGTACCTCTTGCTCGTCAGTTATCGTTAGTAAATGAGCTCGATACGGTTCCCATTCGACCATGTAAGCCCACCCCGTTCCCAAACCCGGATCACGTAGCTCGTTGGAGATTGAACGGCGTTTCAATCGGAAACAAGCGTCCATAGCGATGAACATGATGTAGAGACACCTTGACTTGTATCAATAGGTGTGATTCAGCCCAGCGAGAATTTACCGATCTTCAGGAGGAGCATTCTCCCATCCTTCTGGCAAGTTGATTCCAGGCCGCGGACAGGCAGGGCAACGAATGGCAAGCTCTCCTGAAGCAGTTCCCATGACACCGAAACGGTCATGACCACGACCCTTCCGCTTAAGCAACAGAAGATGTCGGTATTGCCGTGAAATCCGCATAAAAACAGAGTATCGATCAGGTGGCTTGATACCAGTCCCGTCCGTGCAAGACTCGAGTGCAGAATAGAAGTCGTATGTCGTTGTTTTGCCGTGGAGGGAAAGATAGTGAAATCGGTCCAAGCAGGAGAAGGTTGCGGAAGTTCGTGGAAACTCCGTCGTCGCCGGATACCATCCAGCCTTCAACAACTGAACACAGTCTGCGTCATGACCCATGCAGCCGCAGAAGTCCACGGCAACTTCGTGTATCCCGTTAGCTGCCAAAACCACAAAGTCACTTCGTCCTGCCATTGGGCGGTCACAGATTTCGTTGAGTGGGTGCGCGAGTTGGATGCGTAGACCAAGGCTACGAAGAGTGGTCTTGATAAAGTACACACCCGTCCATTTCTGTGAGAGTCTGATGAGTAGAGTGCTCGCAATATAACTTAGCTCTCACCTCAATGAAATGCAAGGGGTTAGCCCGGTGAGCTTCGACACAACAGCCTTGACATGACATAGCTCCACCAAAGCAAGATAGGCAGCGGTATATGGCTGGAGAGGCGCTGTCACGACATGTACCGCAGAGGTCTCCTTCCTTGCCTCGTCCATCGCGCCAGAGGAGAGATTGCAAAAAAGAGTCCCGGCATTCACGCATCCATCGATCCATTGCTGGGTCCTGAAGGCCTTTAGAATGTATAAGATGGGAAGGGATGGTAATACGTACTGCAGGTTGGCTGTGTCGAGCCGCATTGGTCTCTACATCGTCTTCTTCTTCTTCTTCGCCTTCCAAACATATCTCATATCTCTCAGGATCCTCGGCGGGAGTATGATTGAGAGCTCCATCCTGGCGATGAAGATGGTTTAGCCGTGCTCGTTTGACTGGAGAAGTGGGCTCGACAACAACACTCTGTGTATGGACGCGTCGATTGTCGTTCGTGACGCGATGCAGAGAAGTGGTCAAAGGGGCGTCTGGTGGTGCACCAACAAGCTCCTCCATCGACAAGATATGATGTCGAACAAACCCAGGAGCACCCGTTGCTCGACGTTTTCGAGTGTTGGACGATGATGATGCCATGAAGGAAGGGTGACGTGACCACCGTGACCAAACAAATCAAAATTCAGTGGATATTCGGTCGATCGCATACAGTGGCCGTGCAAGAAGAAAATGTATACAAAAAAACAGACTACTGGTAAATCAAATGCCAAGGAGCTCGAGCTATCAAGGCATCTCTGCGAAATAAGCAGAATGAGAGGTCGTCCAAAGAATAGCAGAAAACAAACTCACATATTTGTGTACTCCTCTCCACGACAGAAATCTAGGTCAAACACAGGTGGGGAAGATTCGGGCGTAAGTTTTCCAAAGTAGAATTCAGCAAGTATGGCATATGATCCAGGTTCGAGCGGTGGAGTCGATGTGTCTGCGTCGCTGGGAGGAGGAGGGTCACCATGGAACCATCTAGGTTGATTTAAGCTAGCGTTGTATGATGAGATACACGTACCGTCCAACCAGATGCCTGACGGCTTCGACATGACCTAGCTCTATGTCAAGCGCCTTGGTGCCCATCACCGTCGTCATGAGATCTCTCTGCAACGCTCTAACCCGCCCCAACTGATGTTTGACGACCACGACATTTCCTACGACACGGCTTGGGGGAGGGCCCACATTGCTTGCGAGATTGGCGATGGCATCGTTGTACGGAACCTCGATTTCGTGGTCGTCGTCATCAAGTGAAGATATGGAGCGAGCTCTGCCTTTGGGACTGCACCCACTGACAAAGAACGAGTAAGCTTCGCTCGCAAAACACCACACCCCAGTGATGTCTAGCCACTCCTCTAGATTCGGATTGCTGGTGCTCCAGGTGTGCTCGATAGACTTCATGAGGGAGGATACTTCGGCTGAATTTCCTGCTGTAGGCAGGCGCTCGATCTTGCCATTTGTCCAGAAGACCATAACATGGATTGGGGACTTGTTCGAAGATGTCGTTGTCGAGGATGTGGACATGGTGGTGAGGGGGAAGTAGGCGGCCATTGAGAACCGAGCAGAGAAGCTGATGATTCCGCTCTTACATATATGGCTCCAATATGCAGCGGATAGAGCGGGAATTCAAGCGCGTCTACTATTGAGGTCGATAGAGCGGGAATTCGAGCGTGTCTGCCGTCGAGGACCCTTTGAAATCCCGGAGAGTGGAATGTTTCAAGAGGAAATTTATTTCTGTTGAAGTTAGATACAAACTGAGGTAGGCGCTACAGGAAAGCCAGAGTTCGAAGGCGGACGCAGCGGCGCGCTTCCCACACCAAATGTACTTTGACCATTGCAATATATGCCAACTGTGCTTCTTTCGTTTTGACGGGACAGGCCGCACCTCCGTCGATGTCTAGGTCGTCCTGGAGCACTTGTAACAGAGCCCAGGATTTCCTTGCAGAGTCCAGTTCCCGCTCCATTTGCAGCATAGAATCCTTGCGAGACCAGTTCCGACACCAGTATCCAAATTCCTCCTCCCTCTCCTCCTCTTCCTGGAGTTTGTAGCCATGAATGGCATTGATAAGTTGCGGGACGTTCTCGTACTCTCGACGTGGCTCGTTTTTGAAGTCCAGGGAGTCGTATGGCGGTCTCAGTTGGTAAGGGAAGAGCCCAGTCATTTGGCCACTCCTTCCTCGGCAAAACCACTCTTCGTCGTCGTCGGGAAGGGCAAAGGCGGCCTGTTGGACGAGGTCGATGGGCAAAGGGGGTAGATTGTCAAGGGTTAACGGCTTTTGCTTCCTTCCTCGCTTGTTCCTCCGCTGATACTCTGCACGGACAACGAGAGCTCTGAAACCACAAGACCGTCAGCAAGCAATAGACATGCAAGAGAAAGTACATGCTTGGGGCTGTTCTCGTATTTTCGGTGAGATTCTCGCGCTGCCTCGCGTCTCTCCTCCTCCGTTCGGTATTTGGGTGGTTGGGGCATGACGTGAGAGTGGTACCGGTGAAGGATGTCGTATGGGTTGTTTGAGATGGATGTAGATGGAAGATGTCGAAGGACAAGTGTTATCAGTTCCGTGACACCAGTGATCTGAAGATCTCGGAATTGCGAATTCATTCATTAAAGAGGTTGTGGTTAGTCTTACGGGCCACTGAAGACGGCGTTCGAGTCCTATTGCATGCCCGTTTAAGATAATATGTACTTTCCTCCAGTACTAGTACCTGTACATTGGTGATGGTCGGTTGAAGTTATCGACCTTGGTGTGCATTCGGTAATGCCGACTGTCCTTCATACCAGATATCTGGTCGTGTGTATCGAAACCTATATAAATGCTGGTTTCAAGAAAATTATATCATGCAAACCGGGCATCGAAACTATGGCTATTACCATTTTTTGTGGAGTGGTAGTCCAAGCGCCTGGCTTATAACAAAAATATTTGTTTTTCCGAGATCTTCAGTCACGCGTTACCACCACTCATGCAAACGCTTCAGTGTCATTTCTGAGTTTCATTCGACAGTCCTTTAGTGTTGTACCAAGAGTTTTTCGATTCAAGCATATGAACAAGAGACAGATATTTTAAATGACTCCCAGGGGCCTGATTTGGCGCTCAATTTCACCAGATCGGCGAAGCATGGAGCGCTCGACGTGCCAGAGTGCCCACCAAGCATTGCCAGCGTTGTTACGCCGACGAATGGCCTCCTGAAATGCCTCTCGCGAACCTTCAAGCTCCCCCTGCTCCACATGTGAATACTCCAATCCCAGACCTTCGCCACGAGCAACGATAGCCTCGTATGCACGAATAAGTTGCTGATGAAATCGGGCCGTTGCCGCCTGCTCCTGCTCTTCGAATCCAAATGCGTCGGCGAGGAGGCGGACTTGATCAATGGAGTGAGTTACAGTCTGTAGTTCTTCTCGCAGCGAGAGTAGGAGGGCGTCGTTGGTAATCTTCTTCTCTACTTGCTTTGCACGAAGACGGGCCTGGTCTACACCAAGGTTGAGTGACGATTAACTAGAGGATAATAAACATTACCAGCTGCCAGCAATAACTTGGGACGCGGACGCGTGTAGGGCTTGGTTGTTGACTTGAAGGTTGACGACGAGTTCTCTACTGTGGGGATTGAGTCGGCGACAGACGGTATAACCTGCTGGAGCTCACCGGAATGAGGAGGCTTTTCTTGAGGTGTATATCCAGTAGCCGTACTCCCTCTGGAAGCAGGCTTGGATGGAGAGCTAGCAGGTATCGCTTAGGAAATATCAATAGGTTTGCGACGAGCCCACAGCAGCTATTTACCTTGGTGCGCCTTTGAAAGTGGTTTGTTGGGCGTATCTGGCACCTTGACAAACACAGGTTTGCGAGGAGTCGAAGGTGTCGAAAGTTCAGTGTCCATGGCAAAAAGGCAGAGGGAGCGAGCAAGAAGCAAGTGGGCCGTGGAGGGAGAGAGGCCGAGCCCCTCCAAAGCTTCTAGGACGGCCATACGCGTCAGGTAAGGAAGAAGCAGGTGGGCCGTGGAGAGAGAGAGGCCGAGCCCCCTCCAAAGCTTCTGGGATGGCCACTCGTTCAGCCGTTAGAGAGGCAGCCGAAGAAGAAGCTGCACGTAAGCGTTATTGTGTCACGGTCACACGTCAAGAAAATTTCACTAACTAACGGGGACCCACTTCTCTTTCCTTCCACCCGCCTCTCTTTTCCTGCCACTCGTTTCTCTTCCGCCCATGTCCCTCGAAGTTGCCACTGGTGCCACCACGTCGTCGTTCAACTCGGACGACTACACGTCCCGGGTCGTCGTCCTCGTCTGAGGCGTTCATGGAGCCCAGACTGACTCGAGTGCGTCCTGGCCAATGCTGACGACACAATGACTCACCATAGCCAACAGGTATACCATGCTGCTCAGCCGCCCCCAATCACGGTCAAAATCGCTGTGTACCCTTGGATGGCGGGTATCCTTGGCATCTACGACTTCGACCTCGACCGCTACTCGCCTACGCTGCGCGCCTCCGCCTTGTCGCTGGACTATTTCGAAATCAACCCGGCTCCCTGCTCTCAGTGCCCCAAAATGGTGGACACACATCCCAGTCAACCCGACGCTTGCTTCACCATTCTCCTGGACTGTCCTCACTCGCCTGAAGATCGCATCCGCCCGGAGAACAAAGCGATCCAGCACATCTTCAATGCCATCGGTTGCCCGTTGCCCGTCTGCCGCGGTACTGTGGTCGTCGTCAAGCACCCTCGCCCAGAAAACCCCAGTGTTTTGAACGCGGACATGGCCGTGAAGAGTATACAGAAGGAGGACCTCCCCGCAATCCAGGATATTCTCGTTCGGTAGGTTTACATCTTTCCATATCTGCCTGACTGATTTTTCTCTTTCTCAAGGCAAATATCTGCGATGTACAAAGCGGCAAAGGGTCGCCCTTATTTCATGTCGACCGAGGCGGCTCAGCAGGCCTGGAAGAACTCGCCCAACCCGTCCATGATTGGGTCTCTTTCGTGGTCTCAAAACGCTCCCGCCCTCAGCACCTCAAGTGCCAGCGCCGAGACCATGGCTGGCGACAGCGTTCCCACGTTGGACGAGGAATAGGTGTCTCGCGCTCGATTTTTTTGCTGCGTTGTTATCTTGTTGTCTTACTGTATCGCTGTGTCGCGTGTCGTGTTGTATATCTGTGTTTTGTTGCTAGTTTGTTGTGTCGTCGTTTGTAGCTCAGCCCCATAATGTAGTCAATAAATTTTTTTGCAGCTTCGAGAATGATCGAGAGAAGCTGACGTCATTCAGCCGCTTTTATTCCCCCTTCGAAAATGAGCCTTTTTAGTGGTCCGCGTTGCTTGCTACCACTCCTTCCACCACTTCATCGACTCAGGCATGAACAGCCAAGCGCCTGTGTATCTACTATGCCAACCACCGTTCTATCCGCAAGACGATCGTGCTTATTTGCGCGATAACCCATTTGCCAATGGCCTGTTGGCCGTGGTTACCAAAGGCCCTCAGCCTGGCGTTTACACCAGCCCGTACGTTTTCCTATAACAATTCGCGTGATATCAGGAGCTCATAGACTCTTTTAGTGATTCAGCTCGAGCTGCGAATGGATCCAAAGCTTACTCTTGGCAGCTTTGCTGGAAGTG